GGAGCCGGCGGCGAGGTCCGGGCTGGGCTGCGGCTCCTTCCTTGATGCTTCCCCGGTTAGCGCCCGTCTCTGCTCCGGGCGTGGTCGCGGACGGAGGCGCCGAGCGGCGGCTCCCTTCCGCAGCCTTCGATGGCCCCTCCTGATGCTACGCAGACGGGCGCCTCGGCGTGGCGCGGACTCGCCCAAGTAGACTCCCGTCCAGCGGCACCATCCTGACTTTTTTGACCGCACCCTGACCCGTGGAGTTGCAAAACGGTAGCCTCCCCCCCCCCCGCGCGCAAAAAGCAATCCCCATCACATCACATCTTCCTTCCCTTCAATAAACCTTGTTAAAAAGATCCTGGGAGTTGTGCCTTTGGCCTTGAGCCAAGAGGCCGAAGGATGATGACCTACCTGGCGTGACTGAGGAATGTCAACAGTTGTGTTGAAAAAGTTAAAATGCGCATCTGGAAGAGGAGGAGGGCGTGGGAGGAGCCGGTGCCCTCCTCTTTCCTATCTTTGAAAAGATTTCCACGCTGCCTCTTTCTGCCTTCTCACCCGCGCATCTGCTCCGAGGGACGGACGGACGGCCAACATGGTGAGGCTCCCAAGGCTTTAACCAACTTCTTTCCTTCCTCGATAACTTTTTGGCAGCGCGTTCGCCCCCTTCTCGGGACTGTTGTTCATGGGCTGGGCTCTATTCGCCCATTTGCCGTGATTCGATGCTTTCCTAAACGATAGAATTATCGACATTCCCCCAAATGGTCGCTATGATCCTTTATAGCAAGCGGGTGCCTTTTTCCCCTCTATAAAACTGGCTGCTCAAACCTGCAGCATCAGGTGGATATCTCAAATGAGTGCCTAAAATCCTTTCTTTTCCCCAAAGTGTCAAGTCATTTTGGAGATTAGATTGATACATTCTTCTTATGCTATTTTTTTTATGACTGAACGTACGCCAGTCTAGAGTTGGCTAGATTCTAGTTGCATAAAAGTGTTTGCCAATAAATAAATGTTCAAATTTGTATGTTCTTTGCACTTTATATAGTTGGCAGGGTTTACCATGAGGTTTAATTCGCTTAGTAGCTCGTTTCTGTTTTGCTTTGTCTCTATTTTTTTCTGAAGTAATTTTAAAAAATCCCTGTTTTATTCTTCTTTGTGCCAGACAACTTACACAGATAAAGGAGAAAAGGTAAGATCAATTTAAATATTATGTTCTTATTAAACGTTTTGTATTTTTAAAAGGGTTTTGAATTTGTAAATCTCTGTTGTACACTGCTTTGAGACTTTCTTCCTTTGGAAGTGGCATATCAGCTAATTAGATAAATAGGTATTTATTCTTCAGAAGATGATTCATATTGCAGTGAAACAATATGAATCTCTGGCCTATTTGAAAACAATATTTTTCCTTAGGCACAGGAAAATTTGCTGCCAAAATCTGTTCTTAGCAAATAATGTACGTTGATATAAGAGTGCGTTGATATAAAAAGAGCATGGTGTAGTTTCAGTTTTATATCTATTGAAAAAAATACATTGGACTCTTATTTAATCTGGTTCTTATATAATTATGGCCTTTTCATGCATTATGCAAAACTGGATCAGCCAACGAGCGTGCACTAATCTGGGACAATTAACCAGTTCCAGATTCCATAATTCTGTAATGAATTATGCATTACAATGGGTAGATAATGCTAAAAACTTATCAGATGAATGTTGTAAAAGAGGCTTAAATATGTATTTTGTGACTTATTTCCACCCAAGCTTACACTGCAATTCTGTAAATCAGCAGTTGGGTGTGTAAGCAGCTAAAGCAAAAAGTAGTTTGGTACTGGCTTAGCATGTTGCGTGAAACCACCCATTATAGCTTGGAAATCTTGGTTCATGGAGGCACCCCCAATGTGGTTTATTCAATGAACGCCCTGAGTATGAAAAGTAACTAGACCTTCCACTTCTCTGGCTCTGAGCATTTTAAGAATCCTCTCGAAACGGACGGGGCTTCAAAAGGCTGGAGTTTGCCTGGAGTTGGCAAACCTACAACTGGGTGTTCGCTAAATGCTGAACACAACTTGTAACGTCTGAATCAGACGCAGCGCTAAGTTGCTTGCCACGAAGGGAATGAAATTGAATCGAGCAGGTGAGATGTTTTGCTTAGCTTGGGAGCCAAAGCAGGTCATAGGTTTAAAAAATAAAAAATAAAATCCTCTTTAAAAATATTACTCAAGGGGGGAACTGGCCTCCCTTGGACACACCCTTCCTACGTAAGAGCTCGGTAAATATTTTCCAGCCCACTTAATATTTAACCTAGCAAGGTTAACTGAAGGCTTGCCAACCCAAGCACTGGTGAAGGGTGGGGGCATCGTTGCAAAAATATTGCAGATCCAGGGGTGTAAACCACATCTGGATTCAGCCAGCAGCGTGCCAAGCCGAAAGCAAAGCAGCCACAATGGGGAACTCCAGCCTGTGTGTCTTTGGGACACTTTTTTGGGGGGGGGGGGATAGCGGTCTCCATCCAGCTCTTATCCTGAGAAAGGTGGACAAGTATCTAACCTGGTTGATTCACACGCTGCCCCTGTGGCATATCAGCCCTCCGCTGGGCATCTCCCAGGTTCCAACCCAGGCAGCCATCTC